CATAATTTCTTAAATCTCAAAAAAAATGAAGGCAATTTTCTCAATATTGGTATCAATTAAAATACCTACAGTTTATGCCCTATTTGATGGCTAAAATATGCACACACACATAGAAAGACAATTGTTGTTGTTGTTGTTGTTATGAAGTTATAAATAAGGCAAGAAAGTCCCCTACTACCACTTCTATTTAACACCCTGGAAGTCATAGCCTGTACTCAAAAACAAAGGAGGTGGGGGTAGAGGAGGCACAAATATTGAAAAGAAAGAAGTAAAACGTGTTCTTTTGATCAGATACCATAATTATGTATATAGAAATTCTAAAAGTATCTATCAATAACCCATAAGAAATAAGATGACTTAGTAAGCTCTATAGATAAAGATCAGCATATAAAATAAATTTTATAAATTTCTAAATTTTATATATAAATATGTACATATATAAATATGTATATATATATATATTAGAATGAAGAAGTAGAAAATAAAAAGTGTAAAAGTATCATTTACAATAGCACCCCCAAAACTCAACAAATACATAGGAATATATCTTTACCTTGTTACTATTAACATTCTAAACCAGATTTATTTTCTTTTCTATTTTGAAATAAGTCCTTGTTATGTTGCCCAGGCTGCCTCAAACTGCTGAGGGTCACCCTCCAAAATAGCTGGGACTATAGACATAACCCAAGATGTGGGCCAAATCTTGTCATGGAAGCCTGTCCCATGCATTGTAGAATGTTTATTTAACAGGATCTCTGGTCTCTACCCCCTAGATGCCCATAGCACTTCCCCACACCATTTTGGAGAGTTAAACATATTGCCAGACATTGCTTCACGTCCTCTAGGAAAGCAAACTCAAACATGGTTGAGAACCATTGATCTAATGGAAGTTGTTGTAATGGTTTGCATATGGTTTGTCCCCCAGTGATTCATGTGCTGAAAGCTAGATCCACAGTGTGGTGGTGCTGAAGTGGTAGGACCTTTAAGACACAGTGTCTAGTGAAAAGTAATTATATAATAGGGGCTCCACCTACATGAATGAATTGATGCTGGGAGAGTAGCTTGGGTCTCATATGAGTTAATTATTTCTCACAAGAGTGGGCTTTATAAAACAAGTTCACCCCGCATGGTCTTCTGCATTTGGTCACTTCCCATTCTGCTTCTCCACTATGTTATGATGCAGTCAAAGGAGGTAGCCATCTGATGTCATATAGGACTCCGGTGTCATATGGTTTGAATCTTCCAGCACCAGAATCATGAGCCAAATAGGCCTCTTTACTTATAACATACCCAGTTTCAGCTATTTTGTTAAAGTAACACAAAATAAAATCAGAAAGATGCCGAGACTCTTCTACTGAATACTCCTAAGTTATGGTTGAGAGAAATTAAAGAGCTGAATGAAGATATATCTTATTTATAATAGATTGGAAGATTCAATATTGTTACAATGTTGAGTACTCCCCAAAATTTACTTATATAATATGTCAATGCAATTCCTATCAAAATTCTGTCCAATTTCTTTCATGGAAAATGATAAAATCTGTTTAAGACTTATATGAAAATGCAAAGGTAATAACATATGGTTGTGAGTGTGCTATGTCATTAACATACACTAAACATGTTTCTGTCTCTCCACAATATCAGAATTTATTGAATAACAATAAAGTCACAGGCTATCCTCTTTTTATCAGTGGTAGTCCACTGAATACTTGTTGGTCACTTGGTAGTCATAAGCAAAGCAATCATGGCAATCATATTCCAATCTTTTTTTTAAAAAAAAATATTTATTTAGTTGTAAATTAACACAAAGTATCTTTATTTGTTTTTATGTAGTGCTGAAGATTGAACCCAGTGCCTCATACACGTGAGGCAAGCACTTACCACTGAGCTACAGCCTCAGCCCCTCCAATCTTAATTTCTAATATCTGTAACACTCAAATCACACATCCACAAATCACACTTTATACACAATTATATATAGGTTTCAGAAAGACTAAGAAAGGGTTAAGGTGGCCAGGTCACAGGAGTTCAGGAGATTGAACTAAGAGCAAAGGCAGAGAGCAGATATGAATGCAAAGAATCACTGTAGGTGGTCAGATAAGATTATGAACCAGTAAAACAACTTTTTCAGGGCACAGAGATGTCAAAGCACAAGAACTCATTCTAGACCAAGATCCAAACAGATGGCAGTTTCACAGTCAGCTTGAAATGTCAGCTTGGATTGGGATTTGAATGGTCATCATGAGCAGAAGAAACTGCACTCTGCTAAAACCCAAGGACAGAGATTTGAAGGTTCATTGCTATGGTGATTTTCCTGGGCAAGGCTCATGACAAGTGACCAGGTGACAGGGTCAAGGTACTGCCATGTCCATCTCAGGGTGCCCCTCCTTTTATGGGTCTCAAGTGAGAGGGTTCCATCATTTGATGGTCTGGTATGTTCAATAAGCTTGTGGGCCTGGTTTTTACAATTTGACTTTGATACACCCACTCATCCATGTCCTTCTGATTAATTTGATAAATTCACAGAAGGGCATTCTTATTAGCACAGTTCATTTATCAGTTTGTGCCTGCTCTCCACAATATGCAATTTTTAAAATTTTTTTTTAGTTGTTGATTAACCTTTATTTTATTTATTTATATGTGGTGCTGAGAATCAAACCCAGTGCCTCACACGTGCTAGGCAAGTGTTCTACCACTGAGCTACAATCCCAGCCCCTCCAAAATATGCAATTTTGAAGAAAAAATAACAAAGCTAAATGCTTCACATCCTCAGATATTAGGTCTTTTTATAAAGCTACAGTACTTAAAACAATGCAATATTGATGCAAGGACAGTCCAATGGACAAACTGTCCAGAAAAAGTCACTTGATTTATTTAAAAATAATAAATCTGGGCCTAGTGTCTTATACCTAAAATCCTAGCTACTTGGGAGGCTAAGGCAAAAAGATCACAAGTTTGAGGCCAGCCTCAGCAATTTAATGATACCCTATTTCAAAATAAAAATAAAAAGGGCTGGGTATGTAGCTCAGAGGTAGAGTGCCCCTGGGTTCAACCTCCAGTACCAGAAAAAATAAACTAAAATATAAATGGAAAACCCATGCAATTCATTGGGTTATAAATGGTTTTATCAATATATAGGGTGGGCCAACTGGAAACCAATATGGAAAATAACCTTGAGTTTAAAGAAAATTATTTTTAGATGGATTGTGGACATAAATATGAAACTATACTCATGACTTTGTTTAAGCAGAAATTAAACTTGACACATAAAAGAAAAAGGTAATAAATTATACTTCATTAAAATTAAGAATTTCTGAGCACCAAAGCTATACACAAATTACAGGCAGAGAAAATATCTGCAATATATATATATCTGGCAATGAACTCACACCCAGACTATTAAAAACTTCATAAAAATTAATAAGAGAAAGACTGACAGCCTGGACAAAACACTTGAAGAAGTACTTCACCAGAGAAGATATCCAAACAGCCAATAAGTCTATAAAAAGTTGCTCAAAACATTAGCTATCAAGGAAAAGCAAATTACAAATCACAATGGGAAATTAATACAACCTCTCCAGAATAGATTAAATTTTAAGACTGACTTTGGCAAGAATGTTGAACCACTGGAAATCTCATGTACTGCTATTTGGAGTGTAAACTGATTATTTGGCCGGGGGGGGGGGGGGGGGGGGGGAATTGTCAGTGTCTAGTAAAACATGTTTTTATTGTATAACTGAGCAATTCCAATCCTGGATATATTTGTAAAAGAAGTAAGTATGCAAGTCATTAAAGGACATACTGAGGAGTGGGGAGGGGACACACAAAAAAAGAGAGATATACATACGAAAGTTCATAGCAGCTTTCCTAATAATCTCGAATTGGAAATAAACCAAAAGGCTAAACTGTGGTATGGAAATGGGTTGGAATGCTAAAGAACAAAACAGAATGATTCTCTGTGTTTCTTTACCCTCCCCCAACCCCTGTCTCCTGTTGCTGCTGCTGCTGCTGCTGCTAAGAAATAATCAAGATAAGGTTGTTTTCCTCTAGGTGCTTGGGATCAAATCCAGGGCCTTGTGCATGCTAGTTCTAACACTGAGCTATGGCTCCAGCCCCTCAAGATCAGTTCTAAATGAACAGGGAGGAAAGGAGAGGAAGTAAAGAGGTAAAAAAAAAGAGCTCCCCAATGAACCACTACTAGACCAAAACAAACAAGCAAAAAAAAAAAAAAAAAAAAAAAACCTCACAAAACTATACAAAAGGCAATTTTCAGTAGAAAACAAATACTGTGACTCTTATTAATCAGGATGTTGTAGTGCAGCGTATATACGGAAACATATTTTAGCCTTTCAGATATAACAAAAAGAGAGAGAGGCAGATAGTATCAGTAGTACTAGACACAGTAGTCACATAGACATTTATCTTACAAAATAGTAAATCTAATGAATACGGAATTTTTTCATTAACTTTTGAGTCATCAAACTTAGATAATTGTAAATCTGAGTTTGTAGTGTTTGAGAGTAGGACATTAACCTGTGCTGAGTAATTATTAAGAGGTAATGTCATCCAGGCCGGGTAGCACATGCCTGTAATCCCAGCAGTTTGGGAAGCTAAGACAGAAGGATCGCAAGTTCAAAGCCAGCCTCAGCAAAAGCGAGGCGCTAAGCAACTCAGTGAGACCCTATTTCTAAATAAAATACACAATAGGGCTGGAGATGTGGCTCAGGGTCTAGCGACCCTCTTGAGTTTGATCCCCATTATAAAAAAAAAAAAATGAAGTAATGTCAACAAGCATCTATCGAGAGTGTTGCTCTATCCTCGACCCCCAGTTCCCATAACCGATAAGCCTGGGGTTCAAGAAGGGTGCGGGTCGTAATCCTGGAGCAAACTCCTTGGAAAACCAAACTGCTTTTCCTCCTCTTTTGGCCCCGCCCGGCGGACCTGCCTGCGCTCTCGGTAGACGCGTAGCCCCGCCCCTGCGCCGTGGCCCCGCCCCGACGGCCGCCGCGTCTCTATGGAAACGGCTCCTTTCATGCAGTCATTAGCACGATGGCGGCTGGGGAACCCGGGGACTTGGGCGGCTACTACTTCAGGTTTCTGCCTCAGAAGACCTTCCCATCTCTGAGCGCCTCAGACACCACCAGCCGGCTCCGCCAGTGGTGAGGGACCGAGGAACGGGGAGACAAGAGCTCCTCGGCCTTCGCTGCTGTGGAGGAAGCGCGGGACAGACGCTGGCCTGGCGTCGAGGGCGTCTAAGCCGAGTCGGCCTCATACTGAGTGAAAGAAACTCTGAAGCAGCTGTAACACTAGGGCAGGGTGGATACTGTGGGTAGGACCCGTGTATTTTGCGCCTTGAGAGTTTGCCAGTCCCAAGCTGACTCTTTTATCCTCTCTGCTCCAGGTCCATGCTGGGCAGAATCAAGGCCCAGGCGTTCGGGTTTGACCAGACCTTTCAAGCCTATCGGAAGGATGATTTCGTTATGGTTGGTATGGGGTTCGGAGAGTTCTTGGGTCACTGCTGATTTTTAACTTTCCGACACGTCAGCATGGATTCTTACGAACACCGCCATTCCTTAGTGACGTCATTTTCTTGGAGATGGGGAGTAATAAAAGGTGTCAATGACATTTTTTAGAGGAATTTTTACATTTCCCACTACCATAAATTTATTCTTACTTTAACTTATTCTTTTTCTGCCTTCATGATCCTGCCTTAAAGAACCTTTCCAATTTGGGGAATTTTGTTTTTTTAGTAGGTACACCTCGTTTCTTAATGTTACTACTCAGCTTTATCATTGACTTTATTTACTAGGCTTAGCTCCTAATTATTTTTGCTCGTTTCTCAAAATCGTAGCCACCCTGAGAACTGGGTTTCAGGCCCTAACACCAGTTCCAAATAAGGAATTTACCAAAAAAGTTTTGAGCAGTGACACGGTGACTCGAATAAGACTTTACCTAGGGGTGACTACTTTGATTATACATCTGTTTTTACCTTATTTTTCATTTTTTGTGATGCTGCAGATCCAACCCAGGGCATGACATGCCAGGCAAATGCTGTACCACAGAGCCATATCCCCAGCCCTTTAACATAATAGGTGGGGTTGGCTATGAAGCCTAGGCTGGCCTCCCACCTCAGCCTCTCAATTAGCTGGGATTACAGACACAAGCCACAATAAGGGCTGGGAATGGGGTTTAATAGTAAAGCACTCCTGGGGTCAATCCTCAGTATCAAACAAAAAGAACAAACAATAAGTTTTGATGTGCTTATTAAAATTAGTCCCATTATTTTCCATCTTTTTTTCCACTCCTCAATCAATTGGAAAATATTGGTAGGGTTTGTGAAATTACCCTTATTCTTTGCTGTTCATGTCCTTTGAACAGCTATAAACTAAAGTCTTTTATAGTTGGCATAATTCATTTACTTGCTCTTACACTTTCTGAGGACCTGGAGTGTACTAGGAATTTCCTCAAGTGCAAGGGATACAAGGAGGACCAAGGCAAGAGCCCAGCTTTTGAGGATCTTATGAACCCTTGGAAAGACTGCCAATAAACAAAATTAGATCATTTCCTACAGTGATAAGTACAGTGAACAAGAGGAAACACTAGGTCAGATGGTCTCAGAGTTCTGGAGGCTAGAAGTCGGAGATCAAGGTAGAATTATGGTTCTTCTGAAACCTATACAGGAGTACTTCCTTGCCTCTTTCTACTTTCTGATAGTTACCAGTAATCCTTGGCATTCTCTGGTTTACAACATGGCACTTTAAACTCCACTTCTATCAAAGTCACATGTCTCTCTCCCCTCTTGTGTCTGTGTCTCCTCTCTTCTAAGGACACCATTCATACTGAGTTAAGAACCCACCTACTCTAATATAATCTTATCTTCACTAATAACATCTACAGCAACCCTATTTTCAACTAAGGTCACTTTCTGAAGTTTCAAGAAGGACAAAAATTTTGAGGGGATATTGTTGAACCCCTAACAGGGTAAACTGGTTGTCTATTTCCCTTTCTCTAAAATAGTGTTATAATGATGTTATAATACAATGCTACTATTAATGACATTTATGAATAGTTATGATTAGGTTTTTATAACTTTTTATAGTTTTTAATTAAACCACTATTGTCATTCAACTTTTTTTTAGAAAAAAGTAAAAAATTTTAATCTGCTGAATTTTAGAGTGCTATAAAAAATTTTATTTAACTCATTTATTCAAGGAATATTTGTTGAAATTCCACCACTATATACAGCTACAGTGCACCAATAAAAAATATGGAAAAAAATATTTGTTGAGCCTGGGGTAGCGGTACCCATCTGTGATTTGGTAGGCTGAGGCAGGAAGATCACAGGTTTAAGGCTGGGCTCAACAATTTAGCAAGACCTTATCTCAAAAATAACAAAAATTTTAAAAGTTTGGGGATGTAACTCAGTGGTAAAGCTACCCTGGAGTTAATCCCGAGTACAAATATATATATACACATACACACACACACATACATACATATTTGTTTAATACTTACTGTGTGATAAAAAGGTAAAGAGACCTGACCCCAGATTAGAAGGTATATACAGTTTGGGAAACTAGAAATTAACAACAACACAAAAAATCTCTATACAATCAAATAATTATATTGATGGAGGACATAGAAGATGTCCTAGACACAGAGAAAAAGATCACCCCAACAAAAGGGCTTTGACTTGGGGGAAGATTTTATTGAGGAGGTTATAGAATTTTTTTTTTTTTTTGGTTGTTTAATAGATTGAGATTTTCAACAGATTATCCATAAAATACAACATATTTCCATAATTCCAAACAATTTTTTTCTAATTTTGAAATTCTTCATGTTTGTTTATCCTTATTTTTATTCCCATGAGGCAGAACAGTGTTATGCCTAGATTTTAGTTCAAACAAATATACACTCATTTGTATTCAAATAACTAATTTGGATGTAAATAAAACATGTGGCTAAGAGATGACCCAGAGGGGATTTACCCCTAAGCTAATACATCTTCCCCCCCACCCCCCAGACAGGGTCTTAGTATTTTCCCCAGGCTAGTCTCAAATTCCAGGGCTCTCTTGCTTCTCCTGTCTCAGCTTCTCTTGTACCTAGGACTGTAGGCTTGCACAATCTTGTGTGGCTTGAAACAAATGAGTACTTCTCATTGACCAACTTCTTCACTTGCAAAATACTGAGAGACTCAAGCAGTATGCTGATGGTCATATGTTTTTTAAAATATTTCAAAAATAAGATGTTTTTGTATTCTTAGAGCTCATAAAACTGTTTAAAGCCCCAAGCTCTATAAAACTTGGATTCTCCCTTGATTTGGTCTTTTAATTAGCTGTGGGTTCAAATTCCAACTCTGCCACTCATAAGCTATGTGACATTGGGCAAGTTACTTAATAACCTTCCTTGAAAAACCTCCATTTACCTTTCTGCAAAATAATCACAGTGCTTCATGTATAATACGTGTTTAATAAGTATTTTGAATATAGAAATTATATTGACTGTTCTGAAGATTAAATGAGGCAGCATATGACATGTTTAGCAAAAACGCTTGGCATATAGTGTTATTATTGTTACTAACATTTGTCCATCATACATTATAAGGAATTCTTCTAGAGCAGTAGTGATTCCTGTGTGCTAGATTTAGCTTCCAGCATTTTTAACGCATTTATCACTAATCTTTACAACAATGTGGTAAGATTGGTGGGTTTTTTAATAATTTTTTCTATATCTTTATTTTACTTTATGTGGAGCTGAGAGTTGAACCCAGTGCCTCACATGTGTGAGGCAACCACTCTGCCACTGAGCCACCACCCAGCCCTGGTTTTTTTTTCCTTTAATGTGATGCTGAGGTTTGAACCCGGGGCCTCCCATATGCTAGGCAAGCACTCTACCATTGAGCTACAACTTCAACCCCAAGATTGCTGTTTTGACCCCCGTTTTATAGCTGAGAAAACTACCAATTCAGAAAAGTTAAGTAATTTGTCTGAGAATGCCCAGCAAAGAGATTTTTATTTTAAATGCCATACTCTTTGTACTGCACAGACTTGTTAAATGAACAAAAGTTATTGCTTAAACAAGAATTCCAGATTTTGAATGTCCCCTTTCAACTTAAAAACAAGTTATGTTTTAAAAGTTCATTTGTAAGGTAGTAAATGAATTCAAGGAAGGAAATATATATCTAGCAAACTTCTTTAGTTCCTACATCTGTACAAAAGAATAGACAAAGAGGGAAACAAAATGAACCATTGTCCTCTAAACAATATATGGTAATGTCCTGAATTAAGACTAACATTTGAATGGTGAGGAGAGCTGTTCAGGAGAAATGTTGAAGGACTAATAAATTCTTGAGAATAAGGGAAAGAGGGACATACAGGATGAATTAATCCCATGTTTCTGTCTTGGTTGGCTGGAGAAGCTGATTGATGCTATTAAATCATAGGAAATATAGATTAAATAAGGAAACTTAAGTTTAGTGTTAGGCATGCTTAACAAGAGGTGCACCCAAGTGGCAGTATTCTAGGTAGTTGAGTACAATGTCTAATTTGGCGTTAAGCGAGCTATAGCCTCAATATATAGTATTGGCATCCTCACTATTGTACTAGATATTATGAGGGGAATTTTGCACAGCAACTGGCAAAGAAGGCTTTTAATTTGCAGAGCTTTCCAAAATGGCTGCACAACCCTTGTGCTTTCATCTCATGACCAGAACTTAAGTATATTACCAAATCCCAGGGAGGCAAAGAAATAGATTTAACTGAATACATAGCTATCCCCAATAAAATCAGAATTATTTAAGGAAGAGAGGATTGATATTGAATTAGAAACCAGCCAGGTAGGTAATATAGTCAATATCTTACATTACATTATGAAACAAATTTATTTAAAATGCACATTTGACATTGATAGCTTTGTTATTAATTTCTTTATTCCTTTATTAAATATCTTTATTTTTACTCATTTATGAATCATCTAATATTTTTCCAGATCTCATCAGTTCTCTGAAAGCTGTGACACAGAAAATCCTTTCTAATGCCTCACTGGAAATTCTGTAACAAATCAAAAATTTACACATATAAGAACAATATTTTTTAAAAACCATTTTAGATGTATAATTATAATTTCAGTAATACAACTTACACTGCTTTATTTAAGGGGACTTTATAAAAATTTATTTACATTAGCTGTAGGTTAACTTGTTGCAGAGCAGTTGGTCTAATTCAATTTATGACATCTAAAATGTGATCTGAAGTTAATAACTCCCAGGAATAATGACTGAATCTGAATTAGATTTCTCTCTTTTAAAATAGTTCTTTCAGAAGGCCTATAAGGTATTCAAAAACCAATGTTAAGGGCCGGGGATATAGCTCAGTAGTAGAGTTCTTGCCTAGCATGTGTGAGGCCCTGAGTTCAAATCCCAGAACTATAAAAAAAATTTTTTTTAAATGCTCCTCCAAAACCAGTGTTAATTGAAGTTAATTTCAGCCATGTGTCCTCTAAAATGTACTATTATGTAAATGTATTATTATGTAAATTAAAATAGTTGCACAAATACTTTCAATTTGAAAGTCTTCAAAAAGCAATAAGGATAGAATTTTTTTTTTTTTTTTAATATTTATTTACTTTTTAGTTCTCGGTGGACACAACATCTTTGTTGGTATGTGGTGCTGAGGATCGAACCCGGGCCGCATGCATGCCAGGCGAGCGTGCTACCGCTTGAGCCACGTCCCCAGCCCAAGGATAGAATTTTTAAGGAATAATTTTAAGGATTTTTAAAATAATAAATCAGGCAAATATAATACCTTCTTTTTTTTTAATTAAAAAAAAAGGTACTGAGGATTGAACCCAGGGGTGCTTTACCACTGAGCTATATCCCCAGACCTTTTTATTTTTATTTTTTTTATTTTGAGTAGGATCTTACTAAGTTGCTGGCCTTGAACTTGCGGTCCTCCTGCCTCAACCTCTTGGGTTGCTGGGATTATAGGTGTGCAGGCCTCTTTTTTTTTTTTTTTTTAAATGTGTTTACTCTTTACTTCCCACCAATAGAATGTAAATTCCATGAGAATAGAAACTTCCTCTTGCTTAGCTTCATGTAGACATAAATAATTCACACCTCTCACACCTGATTCTCTTTATTTTCTCCTTTTCCCTTTCCCTTTCCCTCTCCCCCCTCTCCTTCTCTATCCTCCAACCCCTGCCCCCACTTTCTCCCTAATGGTACTGGAGATTAAACCCAGGTCCCCACACATGCTACACCAGCACTCTACCCCTGAACTATACCCACACCCTTTTTATTATTTTTAGATGGGTTCTCCCTAAATTCCCCAGGCTGGCCTCAAACTTGTGATCTTTCTGCCTCAGCCTCCCAAGTAAGAAATTACAGGTCTGCAACACAGTGCCTGGCTTCTCATCATTGTCTTTCTGATGGCATAACATTCATTCTAATTATTTCACAAAATAATCTCAAGAATCACCTTTGATTTCTCTCCCCCCAACTCCTTCCCCCTAAATAACAAATCCATCCATTTCCCACTAGCTAGCACCTTGACTGCTGTGAACATCAATGCTTCTGCCAACAGAATCTCACTCCTGAATAGTCTCTTTATAGCCCTTCAATTCACTGTCCAAACTGAAACTAGAATGAACTTTTAAAAATATGATTTAATCACTCTGTCCTCTGATAACAAATTTTTTTGTGTCTTCCCACTGCCTTTAGATCAAAATTCTGACCAAGATTTAGATAGTTTTTAGGTCAAGATTAAGATTCTTCACTTGACTACAAGGTCCAGTTTAACTCCTACCCTCATCTGACCATTGCAGCTCCTATTATGGTTACGCTAAACCTCTTTGTTTTCCTCCATTGGAATGTCCCATCCTTTCTTATTTTAGAGCCTTTAAACTTGACGTTTTCCCCACCTAGTCTTTCTAGTAGCATGCTGGAACCAGTTCAGGAGAGCTAGATTGCTAAATTTTCAGTAATCTTTGTTTGCTGATTGTTAAACTGCTGGCAGCTTGAAATACACAATGAAAACTGGTAAATGTTACAAATCAGGGCTTTAGGGAGAGGAAGGGAGGTCAGTTGTTAAACATTTACCAGAATACCTCTTGCCCAGCTAACTCCTACTCACCTTTTAGTTCTAAACCTAATTAATTTTTTCACCAACCTTTCTTTCCAACACCATTAGATTAGGACTACCTATTATGTACATCGATAGCACTCCTTTGCAAGCATGGATAGCTTGCATTCCTTTGTAATAATACAGCATATTACTATCTTCCTTTTTTGTCTATAAACTCCATGAGGGCAGGCATATTATGTCTATTGAATTTTAGAATTAGGAAGTAAAGAATATTTTAGTTAAATAAAGGAAATGAGGAGCAAGATAAGAGGAATGAGTGGTTGATAAAGAAGTAAGACAGATTGCTTCTTCAATAAGCTATTTAGGAAAAATGGTTGCTTGAAGGGGATATTAAAAACAGGAAAATAAAAAAAGTAAAAAAAAAAACAAAAAAAAACAGGAAAATATTTATTGTAACAGTTTTTATTGTAACAATTTAAACAATAAAGAACAATTCATAGGAAAAAATGATATTTCTCTATCCCAATCTAAAATTACCTTCCATCCCCTTAACCATCTTCTTCCACAAATCTATAACCACCTCATCTAAAAGGTTTGTATATATTCTTCCATATTTTTCTTTATGTGCATATAGATGTTAGAGTATCATACACATTACTCTTAACTACCTTTTATTATCGGGGAGATTTTAAATATTTATGATTTTTTCCCTCAAAGTCATAATACCCATTTAGGAAAAATTTATTGAGTAACTACTTTATGTCAGGCCATTCTAAGCACTACAGATATAGCAATGAGTAAGAAAAGCAAGTTCCACTACTTAGGAAGCTTACAATTTGTTTTCGTGCTTTTTTCTAGTAGCTGAATTCTGTCTGGTATATTTTATTCAACCATGCTTCTATTGATGGACATTGAAGTGGTTTCCAGATTTTGACCCCACAAACAATTCTACAAAAAAGAAGATTTATACATAAATATGCCTGCTAGTGGTTTCAAAACCCAAAAGTAGAGTTTGCAGGATCATAATTAACTCACGTTTTTATTATTCAAGATAATAACATTACTTTCCCAAAAGGTTGTAAAGATTTACACTTACAGCAGCTTGTAAGAATGCATATTTTCTACTACTCTTGCCAAAAGTTACCAGTCTCAGGATTTAGGGATATGACTCAGAGGGTGAGAACTTGCCTAGCATGCACAAGGCCCAGGGTTCAATGCCCAGAACTGAAAAAACAAAACAAAGGAAAAAAAAAAAAAAAAAAACCTTACCACTCTTTTTTTTTGGGGGGGGGGGGGGCGCAATGTAGTGGGGTTAACATGTTATCATGTGATTTCTGATTTCATTTCTTTCACTGCTCTTGAAGTTGAGCATCTTTTCATAATTATTGGCTATTTGCATTTTTTACACACCTGTTTTTATTCTTTGAACAGCTTTAAATCAGGTTGTCAGTTTTTCTTACAAATTTTGAGCTTTTTAAAAAAAATATTGAGAATTAGCTCCCCCTCTTTGTTATCATATTTGTTGGAAATATTTTCTCTCAGTCTATTGTTTTTCTTTGATTAAATTGCTCATCACTGATATATTTTCTGGCTGCCCAGCACTTTTGAACACCCTTGTGATTTGGGGGTAATTTCGACCCTTTGCTTTTTGGAAGTCCAAGTGGAACTCTCCCCTCCCCTCCTCTCCCCCAAAATTGCAAGGATCTTCTCCCTTACATTTAGAACACAAGACCTAGGGCTAGTTACATAAGCGATAGAATGAGTAATTGGCATGTGTGAAACCTTGCGTTCAATCTCCAACACAGGGAAGGAGGGTAGGGGAGATGAACATTAAGCAAGTTACCTAGGTTACCAACCAGAGTGATAATTTCAAGACTGTGATTTTGAAATGAACAACTTAAGATGCACACAGAATCCATTTCACTGACAAAAGTGGTGGCAGAAGCATCACAGTAGTGGCTTGGTTAGAAACAAGTAGTAATAGTGTCTATGGCTGATATAAATACACTTGATTTATAAACACACCAAGCAGACTTAGGAAATAGAAGTGGTAATAGCTTTATCTAGTGCTTTATGGGGCTGCTGCAACAAAGGTGACAGTTTCCTCATCAGAGCAATTCTTCATGTGATTTTATATCATTCCAAATGTGTAAACTGAAGCCTGAAGTTTTGTAGATTGCCTGAGATGCTTTTCATTTGTCTTCTACCTTTCAGCCAGAGTCAGCTGCTAGTACTTGATAATAAAATTCTTGATTGACTACTATGTTACCTTTTACATTTTATTTATTTATTTATTTATTTATTTATTTATGTGGTTCTGGGGATTGAACTCAGGGCCTTACACATGCTAGGCATGTGCTCTACTACTGAGCTAAATCTCCAGCCCATTACGTTGCCTTTTGTCAGATAGAAAATTTGTTTATAGCAAGTCAAACCTGTCACTTTGCTATGTGCTCCCTTGGATAGACTTAGATTGGTGGGTGGTTAGTTTTAGATTTAGATCCAGTGTATTAATGGTTATTAAGGAGATTAATTCAGAAAATAAGATAGGAGGAAAATAAAGTTTTCAGATAATATATACTCTCCTAATTTTTACTATAAACCATTTTCCATTTATTAATTCCCCAAATTTATCTGTACTTAGAGACACATTGCTGTTTACGCTGTTCCAATTTGAATGTAATAAAACTTCTTTACCAATATGAAAGGGTCCTTCCTAGTTTAGATTTTACTAAAGTAATTTTAGAAGTTGATTTTATTATTATTTATAATAAAATATCTAACATGTTCTTCTCCAACTTGTATTTTAGGCTTTTTTCAAAGACCCAAATGTTATTCCAAATTTGCAGTTACTTTCAGATTCTTCTGGACAGTGGATTACATTAGGTAAATAAAATTTCATCTTTCCAGGTGACTATTTTGCTATTATAACAAAATTTTGCCCCCAAAATTTTCATTATTAAAATACAAATTTTGAGCCAGGTGTGGTGATGCACCCCTGTAATCCTAGCTACTTGGGAGGCTGAGACAGGAGGATTAAAAGTAGTGGATTCAGTCGTGCATTTCTGTAATCCCAGCAATTTGTGAGACTGAGGCAGGAGGATCTCAGGTTCAAAGCCAGCCTCAGCAACTTAGTGAGGTTCTAAGCAACTTAGCAAGACCTTGTCGCAAAGTAAAAAATAAATAGTGTTGGGATATAGCTCAGTAGTAAAGCACCCGTGGTGGGTTCAATCCCTGGTACAGGAAAAAAAAAAAAAATTAAGTTTGACCAGTCGTACCAGGCCTGCTCTGCATCTCTCCCAGTAGTCTACTGATATTGTCCTGGTTCAGAACCTAAGAGTAATTTTCCTTTTTATTGATTTTAAAAAGTATGTATTTTTAAAAAGTATTTATTGTGCACCTCCTATGTACTCTGCTAGATTCAGGGAGCATAAAGTGGATAAAAGAAAACCTGTATTCAAGGAACTTGTTGAAGTGTGTGTGTGTGTGTGTGTGTGTGTGTGTGTGTGTGAGAGAGAGAGAGAGAGAGAGAGAGAGAGAGTGTGTGGTGTGTGTAATAATGTATTATATGTTCTACCATAAAAATGGGAGCATGAGGTGAGGAGTGGTCAGTTCTACCCAGAGGGAAAGGATCAGGAAAGATAGACTAATATGAGGATGCTTAGGCAAAAATTTCCATTCTGATGGGGGCATGGATTTCTGAAGAGGAATCAGCTACCATAGAATGTTTTTTTAAAATAATATATTAAGTTGTGGAGAAGTGTCTTAAAATCTCAAAATAAATTTATATAAATAATATTGTCATAATACATTGAAATACAGTTAGGTATTTTTTAAAATATATGTATATATTTTATATATATATATATATATATATATTTAGTTATATATATATATATATATATATATTTAGTTTACCTTTATTTTTATGTGGTGCTGAGAATTGAACCCAGTGCCTCACGCATGCTAGGCAAGCACTCTACCTCTAAGCCACATCCCAGCCCCCAGGTAGGAATTTTTAAAGAAAGTTACCTAAATGTTTAATTACTTAACAACACTCATTTAAATCTCTTAAATAGGTCAAGAAAGAAATCAGTGTTAATAAGACTGTTTTGGAAGCAAAACATGAACACTATATTTTCTTGATTTTTATGTTTTTAGAAGACTTTTATTTTTTTTATTTTTAAATACTGTTTTTAGTTGTAAGTAGACACAATACCTTTATTTTATTTATATGTGGTGCTGAGGAGTGAACCTAGTGCCTCATGTGTGATAACCATTGTTCTACTACTGAGCTGCAAACCCAGCACACGTTTTTTTATTTTTAATTGACACAATTATACATATTTATAGGATAAATCATGATGTTTCAATATATGTGTACATTATATGATGATCAAATCAAGGTAATTAGCATATCCATCACCTCAAATACTTATCATTTCTTTGTGACAAAGACATTTAAAATCTGTTCTATTTCGTTTTTTTAATCATTTAAATTTATTTTTTTCATATTTTATTGGTGCATTATAATTGCACATAATGGTAGGATTTATTATTACATATTTGTACATGCACACAATATAAGAGTATAATTTTGCCAGTGTTATTCCCCAATATTTCCCTTTTCCCTTCCCTCCTCTCTTGCCCCGTTCCCTTTCTTCTACTCCATCAATCTCCCTTCAGTTTTCATGAGATCCCCATCCCCACCTTTCTTTCCCCTTTTCCTCTCTAGCATCCAATATGAGAGAAAACATCCAATCCTTGACTTTCTAAATTTGGCTTACTTTGAATACTATATTTTAAATTTAAGTTTGAGGTTTCAACACTAGAACAAGTAAAAGCATCATTACATTTAGGAGAATCTGGCAATGTGATTGTACTCAATATGCAAACTGATTTTAAATTAGTTATTTTGTTTGGGCATGGGGGACTTTTGATAAACTATCCTACAACTGTATTTTCATGGAATTCTAGTAGTGGTCACACAAAAGTAATTTTTCTTAAAGTATTATTTTAAGAAGAAGATTACAAATTGTTCATGATATTAGACTAAGCAGGTCAAACTTTATTGCTTTGGCTAAAGACTACTGCAAAATTTATAGAGCAGAAAACTGGTACGAATGATCTTTAGACTACTTACAAAATTGAACTGAATATCTGAGCAAATATATGTAATGCTTCAAATTTTTCAAAAAGGAATAATCAGAGCCATGTATTACAGTAGTTTCAGTCAATCCATTTGAAAAAAATAAGGTTTACTGAAGTTAAGTGTTCAACCTTCCCTATATTGGTACACACTTCACAAAACGGCACCAACTTTTTCTGATTTTTTAATAAGGCATTGCAAAAAGATAAGTTCTAAAATTCCACATATGCCTAACAGGATCAATTAGAAGTACTCTGGAAAATAGGACACAAAAGTAGTATTCCATTTTAGAAGCAATTCTGGTAGATTGCTAGTCCTCTTCCATCAGCTTTTTTTTTTTTTTCTTTAACTTTTCTTGTTCTTTTCCTTGTGTATTGGACATCTTCCCTTGAATGTTCCTCTGGAGGCCTTTATATGCAAAAAAAATTTTTTGTTTTGAAATAAGAGGTATTATTCTAGCAGGTGAACCAATTCCAGAGAAAATGATGATGGACCCTCCTTTACTACCAGCTGTACTGCCCACGTTGCCTATTATTTGTGCTCCATCATCTCAGCAGCATAGTCCCATGGTTTAGACATTCTTTGCTTTTTTTAGATAACATATAATGGATGCTAAAGGCATACACATTACTTCTTTTAACACAGAGATCATTATACATCTGTAATTTATGAATGAGTGAGAGCCAAAGCTAAATTATCTGTGCAGTTTTATATGCTGGCTGGATATAGTTGAGATTCAAATCCAGGCTCCTGAATTTAAGACCTTGACTCCCTACACTCTTTCACATCTGTCACTTCCATGTTTATATGGCTGCCATAAAAGTATTAACTTAAGACATCAAATAAAAAGGAAGCATCTAGGGCCAGGGATGTGGCTCAAGGGGTAGCACGCTCGCCTGGCATGCGTGCGGCCCGGGTTCGATCCTCAGCACCACATACAAACAAAGATGTTGTGTCATCTGCTGAAAACTAAAAAATAAATATATATATATATATATATATATAAAGGAAGCATCTAGCATCTTATAATGCTACTATTAGTGGGAAAAATGCATTTTAATTTTATGCGGTCATAGTGATACATATCTTATAAATGTTGAAGATAAAATTTTATAAAATTACTACATAACAAGTTAGCATGTGCTATAGACTGAGTTATGCCCCCACTCCAAATTCATATGTGTAAACTCTAAACCCTCATTTTGATGGTATTTAGAAATGGGACCTTTAGGAGGAATTTAGGTTTAGATGAAGGCATGAGTATGGGACCTTTTTTATGGAATTAGTTCCCTTATAATAAGAAAAAACACTAGAATGCTCTCTATGCTGTGTGAAATCAACCATCTGCAAGTCAGGAACCAAATCATTTGCACCTTGATCTTGGATTTCCCAGATTCTAGAATAGATTAATATATTAATCTATAATATAATTAATATATCATTAAGAAATATGGCGCTACCATAACAAATAGCTAAAAGTATAGAGTGGCTTGGGAAGCCTCTTGGTAGAGGCTCGAAGAATTTTTAAGTACATGCTAGAAATGTGAATGTTAAAGTCAATTCTAGTGACAGCTCTGAAGGAAATGAGGAACATTATATTGGAAACTGGAAGAAAGGTTCTCTTTGTTATAATGTGACAAATAGTTTGGCTGAACTGTGTTCAAGTGCTTTATGGACGGTAGAACTTGCAAGTGATAAAATCAGAAATTTACCTGAGGAGATTTCAGAAACCAGGAATAGAGATGGAATTGTACCAGTGAAGACACTGCTAGTTTGAGCTAAAGGGGTCAAAAAAAAGCAAGCTGAAATGAATGAAGGGTGTTGGACCTCTTAGATCCTATAGGACTCCACTATTTGACTGCAAATATGAACTAGTCTTCAAGAAAAGGGAAGACTCCAAAGGCAATTCAGAGATCATTAGGGCCACCACCTCCATTTCAACAGACCAGACAGCCTCCAACCAAAGCCTCAAATTCAGTGCCACCCTGCAGAGCCAAGCTGACCCAGTAAAACCTTAGGGATTGGGCCACCTGGTGCCTGAGGGCTTTGCCTCCACCCAGGCAGAGTTGAGACCATCACATCTGTGGGTTCAGAAGGCAGAGTATAGAGCAAAAAAAGGATTATTTTTGAGCCTTAAGATCTAAAGGAATTTGCCTTGCTAAATTATGGGCTTGCTTGGCACCTATCACCCATTCTTTAATTTCCCATTTCTCTCTCTCCCACTGCCAAAATAAAGTGACTATCCCGTGTCCATCCAATCATTGTATTTTAGAAGCATATAATGTGTTTGATTTCACAAGTTTATAGCTAGAGAGAAATTTTGCCTCAGGGTGAATGATACCTCAATCTCACCCATATCCAATTTAGATGACACTTTGAACTTTAGACTTCAGAATTGATGATTGAGTAAATTAAATTCTGGGGAGCTGTTGGAATGGAATGAATATACTTTGCATGTGAGAAGAGTAATTAATGGCTTTGGGTAACTAAGAGTGAAATGCTATTGACTGAATTGTGTTGCATAAATTCATATTTAGAAGCCCCTTGACCTCCCATGGCATCATCTGTCCTTAATTACTTCCCAAATGCCCCAACTCCAAATGTTATCACATTGGGAATTAGGGTTTCAACATGCAAATTCATTATTTTTATTTTTTAATGTCTTCTTTTTATTGGTTCTTGTTATACATAACATTTGAAGTCATTTTGACAGAATTATAAAAGCATAGAATATAATTGATTCTAATTTAGTACCCCTTACTTCACTTTCTCCCCTCCTCTCACTCCCTGTTCCCTTCCCTCTACTGATCTTTTTGCTCTTTAGTTATATATATATATATATATTAAATTAGTGTCTTGTGGATATACACAATAGTGAGATTCACTGTGGTATATTCATATATGTACATAGGAAAATTGGGTCAGATTAATTCCACTGTTTTTTCCTTATCCTTCTTCCTCCCTCCCCTTCAATCCCCTTCATCTACTCCATTGATCTTTTTTCTGTTTCTTTATCCCCCCTTCCCCTTATTTTGGATTAGTATCCACATATCAGAGTAAACATTCAACCTTTGACTTTTGAGGGCTGGCTTATTTCACTTAGCATAATCTCTAGTTCTGTCTATTTACCAGCAAATGCCATAATGTCATCCTTCTTTATGGCTGAGTAATACTCCATTGTGTGTAGGGAGTGTAGGGAGTCCATATGTATGCATATGTATGTATATATATATGTGTGTGTGTGTGTATAGAATATATATCTTTATTATATATATATATATATATATATCCATTTTATGTGTGTGTGTGTGTTTTCACATTTCCTATGTCTGTTCAAAGGGCACTTAAGTTTGTCCCATAATTTGACTATTGTGAATTGTGCTGCTATAAACATTGATTTGGCTGTGTCACCATATAATGCTGATTTTAGATCTTTTGGTTATATACTGAGAAGTGGGATATGGGGGTTCCATTCTTAGTTTTTTAAGGAATCATCATACTGCTTTCCAGAGTACTTGCAACTAATTTGCAGTCCTACTGACATTGTATGAGTGCACCTTTTTCCTCACACAGCCTCACCAACATTTATTATCATTTGTCATTCTGACTAGAGATGAAATCTCAATGTCATTTTAATTTGCATTTCCCTAATTGCTAGAGATGTTAAACATTTTTTCATATATTTTTTGACCATTATATTTCTTCTTTTGAGAAGTGTCTTTTTTAGTTTTTTTGCCCATTTATTGTTTAGGTTATTTGATTTTGGTGTTAAATTTTTTGAGTTCTTTGTATGTTCTGAATAACAATGTATCTGAGGAGCAACATGTAAATTTTTAAGGCATATAATCCAGTCAATAGCAAATTCTATTTTCATGCCTCAGTTTAAGTGATTTGAATTTAATTACCATTTCTTACTAACCAAACCTTCCTGCCACTCCCCAAATCAGAGCTGAGGTAGATTTATTAAAATGGCATGTGTCCCAGTGTCATAGGTCCCTCATCCTGTGGCCACCAACCACTGACCTGCTATATACTGCTCTTGTCTTTAATCTTTCAACAATACTCAGAACTAATTTATCATTCTCTATGTTCTTTTAAATTTATCTATCCCCAAGAGGATTTTGCCTCTGAAACAAAAGGAGCTTCTCTTGGCATCATAGCTTTTGCAATTACTGAGGCATACATATTTCCTGGCTCCAGGCATCCTTCTTGTCTCCACACTAGCCTAGTTAAGGTTCATAACCTACAGCAACAGGTCCTAGCATGACTTTAGGTGGACAGCCAAAATAGGAAGTGCAAACAATTGCCAGTTTTAATTACTCTTCTTAAGCACAAGCTACTTTTCAGGTCAGAGGTTTAGCAAAAGTATCCAGGAAGAGGATACGCCAAGGGCCACCACACCTAGGTCTATAAGCTCCTTAAAACTTTGAACAAATGAATACCATCCTCTTATATCTGAGTAAATGTGTGTGTATGTGTGTACATAAAAGAGAGGGGGAATAATTATTTGATATAATCAACAAATGAATACCATCCTCTTATATCTGAGTAAATGTGTGTGTATGTGTGTACATAAAAGAGAGGGGGAATAATTATTTGATATAATCATAAAAACATTCATTTTAATCTGTGCCTTTCTGTAGCTTAATGGAAACTTTAGTAATTGAAAATCCATTCCTGAAAGTACCTTCAGGAAATACGTGTGGGATTGGGGAAGAGGTAGAAAGGAGAAAAACTAAAGCTATATAAAAGAAAAATAGACAAAATGCCATTTTTTCAAATTTCTATAATTCTGAACTTGTGATAATTTAACTAAGCCTGCTTTGAAATTTACTTTGGCTTGGAAACTTTTTTGTAATAAACACTATAAATGAGATCACAAAGGAGAAAATTTTAAATGAGAAAATGTTTTCAAGATCCATTAACTAAAATTTTGTGGTACAGATTATAAAACATTGAGCATGATGCAAATCCAAAGATCACATAAAGAAGTTTCTTTGTTTTTTGTTTTGTTTTTTTTGTGAGACTAGCCTTGAACTTGTGATCCTCCTGTCTCAGAATCCCAAGCCTCTAGGATTACAGGTGTGCGCCACCATGCTCAGCAGTTCCTCCTCTTTTATAGGCAATTCTGATATTAAAAGTAATGTAAGAACCCTGTGTCACATAAAAAAAGTGTGCTTACTTTTCAAGTATTCTCCAATTTAGCTCCTCTAGTCCTGAAATGGTAAGATTTTGTTATAATGTTTGAATTATTAATTAAAAACAAATAAGCTGCAAAATAAGAATTTAATAAAATCCCCAAACTAATATGTCTTTTAAGTACAGCTATATGTTGTTAGACAATGGAATATACTCTGAGAAATTCATCTTTAGTAATATGAACATTATAAAAGTGTATTTACACAAATCTAGATGGTATGGGTCAATTTTTTCAATGTGACCTCTTGCTATAATCAAGAGATGCAATAAACATGAGATGTATAAAGCTACTTCTAGCTTAAAACAGCACATTTTATGTTCACCTTTTTTTAATAAATAGAAGGCATACACTCTAAAATAATGATAGAAAGTATAATACAGTAAATATGTAAACCAGAACGTAGTCATGTATTGACATTATCAAGTATTATGTATTGTACATAATTGTATGTTATTCTATTATATGACTGGCAGTGTAGTAGGTTTGCTTGAACCAGCATCACCACAAATGTGAGTTATGCGTTGCACTATGATGTTAAAGACATCTACAACATCAAAATGCAGTAGGAATTTTTTAGCTCCATTAAATCTTATGAACCACCATATTGTATATAGCCATCATTGACCAAAACATTTTCATGCAACGTATATCAAAATGTCATATTTGGTTATTTCTTAGGTCTCTGCATTGTGATTTATTTTAGAACTGAAAATATTAAATTAACTTATCTATCTCTTTTTAAAATATTTTTTCCAGGAACTGAAGTGAAAAAAATTGAAGCTATAAATGTTCCTTGCACACAGCTTTCAATGTCATTTTTTAATCGGTTATATGATGAAGATATTGTAAGAGACAATGGTCATATTGTTAAGTGTTTAGATTCTTTTTGTGATCCATTTCTCATTTCTGATGAGTTACGAAAAGTAAGTATAGAATTTTTAAATTTCACATTGAAATCTTATTTCAAGAAATGCAAAATGTCAAAAACTATTGCCTGCTTAAAGCCCATAAAGTACTTCTTGTTAATAAAAATGATCAGTAATAATCATTAGATTGATACATTTATTCTTGGATAGCACTTTTACTGTCAATGTACTTATTTTTATATTTTTCAGTAGCTCTCTACAGGATGCTACTGATATCTGATGAGTAGGGATGCTGCTAAATATAACTCACAGCACAGTTCCTCAAAATTCCACACAAAAAAAAGTTATCTGGCCCAACATGTCAACAATGAAGAGATAGAGAAAGTTGCCTATTTAATTAATAGCTATTTTTCTGATATTAAAGTAATGTAAGAACCCTGTGTCACATAAAAAAAGTGTGCTTAGTTTGAGGCTCTTGGCCTATCAAACAAATATCAAATATGTGCCTGTAGTGCTGGATGCAGTGGTACACACCTGTAATCCCAGAGACTCAGAAGGCTAGGGCAGGAGAATTGTAGGTTTGAAGCCAACACTGACAATTTATCAAGACCCTGTCTCAAAAAAAAAAAAAAAAAAAAAAAATAGAAAAGGGTAGGGCTATAGCTAAGAGAAAGAATTCCCCCTGAGTTCTACCCTCAATACTGCCAAAAAATAAAATAAAAAATAAAAATAAATCCTTGAGTAAAAACTTCTCTCTCTCTTATTGCTAAGATCAACTCAATGTGGTTGGGTTGAGTATCAAAATGAGTATCAAATTCATTTGATAAACTAAATTAAATTTTGTTTTAGTGAGAGGTACACTGAACTTGGAATCAAATAAATGTATTATTTATCTAATTCCTGATTTATTATTTACAATATAATAACCTCAGGCAAATCATTCAATCTATAACACAGAGATACTTTCTTCTTAAAAGCATTGAAAAATGAATTGAGGAAATACTTAAATGTACTTTTTTAGAAAGTATGAAATGCTGTTAAAGTGAAATGTATTAACATTATAAAATATATATAATATGTGTAATTATTGAACCTAGACATCAGTGCATACCAGGCTCTGCCACTTAATTATCATGATATTTAGTCTAAGATTTCTTTTCCTCTGTAAAATAAGCATAATGTCAGAATTATGTGAGATAATACACATAAAGTGCTTAGCACTATGCCTGGCACTTAGTAAACTTGTTATATTAACAACAACTACTGCTATTCTCCATTAAGAGGAAAGGGAGGGGGCTGCGGTTGTAGCTCAGTGGTAGAACACTTGCCTAGCATGTGTGAGGCTGGGTTCAATTCTCAGCACTACATATAAATAAACAAAAAATAAAGTTCCATTGACAACTAAAAAAAAAATTTAAAAAACAGAGAAAAGGGAGATTATACAAATCTAATATATTACAAATCCAAATTGGAATGAACTAGGGCAGCTGCTAATTTACAATTCTGAACACAGAAATCTTCGCTGTTGGGGAAAGAGAGGTATCCAGCCCAGCTATACATTAATCTACACTAGAATGCACCTAAAAGAACCTTTTAACTTAGCTTAAGAAGGAAATGAAATTAACTTATTGAAATGAAGTATGCTTATATCTAATATGAAATAAATACAATGGGGATTGACATTAATTTCTACTTTCCTAAGAACTGGAAATTACCATTTAGGAAATGTTTGGTTTGGGTTTCCCTCCTTTTGAATACTGATAATCTCAGCTCTCTTTCTCCCTTCTTCCCTCTTCCATTATTCCATTCTGGCATAAAATCCTTACCTCTAATTTCAGAGAATTTACCATCACTTCTATAGAAAGGACCTCATCAATGAATGAACTTTTAAAGGAGGATTTGTTTTTCCAATGTAATACTCTGCAAAACTGCCTGCTGTCATATTTATTGCCAGGAATGTTAAGCACCCTTATTCTTAAAGTGCTAGAACTCAGTATTTTCTTGCTAATTGCCTATGTATTTTGCTCTTATGTTCTTTGCCACTCCATGGCAATAGAGAAGTTTTTTGTTTTTTGTTTTTTTTTTTGGTAGTGCTGGGGCCTTGTGCATGTGAGGCAAGCAATCTACCAACTGAGCTATATCCCCAGCTCAAGGGAAGGTCTTTTAATTGGTTACTTTCTGGATGAAAATAATGATAATTATAATAATAATGTATTAATAATTATTAGTAATAATATAATAATTATTATTTCCAGTTTTAGCTTGAATTAAAAAGTTCCTCCACACACATTGTGTGACTGATACATATTCTATTGGCACACTGTAATGTAAGCACTAATAATAGCCTCTTTCCTGACTATGACTCAGATATGCAATGTTAACCATTGCGTATCTGCCATCTCAGGGCTGTACAGCCAGAGAACTGTATATAAATGGAAGAGAGAATAGTCATATAATGTTTTTAATATTCATTCCAAAATTTTTTAGTTGTCATATTTTAAAATTATGCAGTCTAATCAGTACAGTGTATGACAGTGCTCATTATAAACATTTATTAATTACTAAGTACAGTGGCACATATTTGTAATGTCAACAACTTAGAAGGTCAAAACAGGAGGATTGCAAGTTCCAAGCCAATCTGGACAACTTAGTGGGAACTTGTCTCAAAATGAAATAAAAAGGGGTTGGAATATAGCTCAGTGGCAGAGTACTCCTAGATTCAATCACCAGAATGTAGTGGAGGGGGAATATGTTAACTCCTAATTGCTTTGTTCACCCTAGTACTCAGATTTTTAAGTAACTATAAACAAAAGCTTTAATATTACATCATTTATTTATAGGGAAGGAAGACAGGAGTAAGTTAGGAAGTGGAAAAGTATAAGTGTTACATGTAGCATGCCCAGAGACAATAAACCATGAATTACTTCCCCTTCCCTTTTATTATACATAACCTTGGCTTTCATCAGTCATTATAAATAAACTGTATATGGACAACACCATAGAGTTTATTTTTCTTTAAATAGCTCTTATATGATGACCTTGTGTTTTCCTTAGAGGTTGTAAATAAGCTTAATTAATTATCTTAATTAAATGTAATTCTTGCTACTAGACAGTTATTCTTATATAACTCATCATATTTTCTTATAGTGTTAAGTATTATACATGATTTTTAAAGCTTTATCCACTAGAGTTCTTTATATATAAAAGAGTTTTTGTCCCACTTTTTTGAGGTTTTTTAAAATAAATTTTTGTCTTTCATTACTTTGGTCTTATTGTATTTATATTTAAATTTTTTTTGTTTTGTTTATTTTGATGCAATACTGGGGATTGAGCCTAGGGCCCCTTGCATGCTAGGAAAGTAATCTACCTCTGAGCATTATCTCCAGCCTCTTTCTTTTATTTTATTTTAAAACAGGGTCTTGCTAAGTTGCCCAGGTTAACCTCAAACTTGTGATCCTCTGGCTTCAGTCTCCTAAGTAGCTGGGATTACAGACATGTGCCACCACACCCAGCTGTATCTATGTTTTATTGTTAGCTATTTCACATTCTTCTTAAAAGTAGGTTGAATATAAACAGTTCTTTAAAATGTGTTATTTACTTATAATTTTCACCTTTTATAGCTTACATTCATCACCTATAGTCAGTAAATGCATGTTTTCTGTAATGCTCAATGATATAAAAAAAAATCCTTGATATCAGACCTAGTCAAATTGTTTTCTGAAAGTGGTAGCAAGGTCTCAGGAGATTAAGAGTCAATATACAGATATGATGTGTAAAAAGTAATCTTATTAGAGGGACCAGGAAAAGGAAAGGTGGATATGAAGCTCCAACACCTGACAGGCTCAAAATTGGAGTACCTGCTGGGGATATAAAGAAAGTAGTGATAAAGTAGTGATCCAGACACTAATCCCAGCTACTCAAGAGGCTAAGGCCAAAGAATCACATGAACCCTTGAGTTAAAAATCAGCCTGGGTACCATAGCAAGAACCCATCTCTAAAAGCAAACAAATAATGTGAGAATGCTTAGAAAATGACCATTAATATTTATCCTCTGGATAGAAACAAAGGTGAAACACTTTATGGAATGGAGCAGTTTTCTCATTTATACTTTAGTTTATTTCCTAATAAGATTTGAAGTGACTTAACACCAAAAATACTATAGCACTAAAATAATTACTAAAAATAAAAATTAGAATAAAGGAAGACTTGGCTGCTATATTTTAAAATTTCATTTATTCCTTTAATCCAATATTAGGACCTAATGAAAAAATGGAGGCAAAATAAGTGCAGATCACAAATATATTCTCTCCAATTGCCTCAGGATTGGTTCTTAAAGTAAGTTTAATATTGGACCAGAGTTGTGTAGCTCAGTAGTCAGAGAGTGCTTGCCTAGCATGAGTGAAGCCCTGGGTTTGAGCCCCAGCACCAAAAAATAAATAAGGGGGCTGGGGATGTGGCTCAAGCGGTAGCGCACTCGCCTGGCAGGCATGCGGCCTGGGTTCAATCCTCAGCACCACATACAAACGAAGATGTTGTGTCTGCTGAAAACTAAAAAATAAACATTAAAGTTTTTTTTTTCTCTCTCTCTCTCTCTCTCTCTCTCTTTAAAAAAAATAAATAAATAAGATTATTTTTAAATATGTAAATTGATATGTTTAAAAACTTAAAAATTAAAATCCTTGTCAAGAAATTTGTAATGTTTTGAACAACCCACAATAAAAAATTAAAAAAAAAAAAAAAAATTAAAATCCTGGGTTATATTACATTAGTATTAATTTATCATCTTAGGTTTTGCTAGTGGAAGACTCTGAAAAATATGAAGTATTCAGGCAACCAGACAGAGAAGAGTTCCTGTTTTGTCTTTTTAAACATCTTTGCCTTGGTGGATCCCTTTGTCAGTATGAAGATGTGCTTAATCCATACCTGGAAACAACAAAACTTATCTATAAGGATCTGGTGAGGTAAAGTTGCTAGATCACAATACATAAATCTCTAGTTAATACATCAAATGGTTTGTTTACCATGGTAGGAGCCAGACTTGGTGGTTTATTACTATAGTCCCAGCTACTTAGGAGGCTGAGGTGGGAGGATCACTTGAATCCAGGAATTGAGGACAGTCTGAACAACAAAGTAAGACCCCTGTCTCGAAAAAAGAAAGAAAAGTAATCATGATGGGATTACCTCCTTGTCATAATATTAATCACCAGAGTGTGTAGAAGTAGTACTACCTCACCCACTCTTGTAACCACCTCCCCTTTTTCCAAGTTAGAAAGATTTCTAGAATTCTCTCTATTTTAATTCTAAGTCCTCTCATTATTCATCTATCTCTTTTGTTTGTTTCCTCAGTTAGACCAATCACCCATTCTATCCCTTATTATGGACTGCCATCTTCCAGGTTTCCCCCACTGACTCACCTCTTTTTAAATCACAAAGGCACACAAAGGAAAGATCCCTCAGGATTTTGAGTTTACTTGACTAATAGGTAATAATTATTTTCTTTGTTCTAAAGAAATAGAAGAATTTTCATTTAGGTGTCATCTTTACCTTTTCAAATTCATCCCAAAGCTATATAGTTGGTTTTAGGAATTCTAATAGACTTTCTTTGTTTCCCTCTCTTTTACTGCAGATCAAATGAGGATTAAAACTTTATAAATTTCTTATTCTTATTTTAACTAAGTAAATGTTCTTTGTTGGGGTTTTCTCAATTATGAAGGTATTAGATCATCTTTATAGACAAGTTGGATACAAATGAGAAGCAGAGCGTTCCAGAGTTTAGGTACATAATTTTACTTCACTAGGAAAATAACAGAATTAACTTTTATCAGATTCTTAATTGTTCCTTTACTCAACAAGTTAATTCCTATATTTAGTCCCTGTGTCATATATCTAACTACATGATTTATTTTACTTTTTTATTTCTAATATGGTGTTAAAAACAAAAATATTTCTATAATCTGTATCTGATTTTAATGAAAAGGTGTCATTACATAGATTTTTGAAACAGATTCATTAGAAATACAATTTCAGAAAAAGTATATACATGCCTACATCAAACATTTTCTGTCCCAATAATTTACAGTTTGTATAAAACTTGTAGACCACTTCTGGTACTATTAAAGACCAGAAGTCTTTACCTAGTGTACCCACAACATGCTCACACAAAAAGTACCCCATTACCATTGCAGTGCCTTGGTGGATCCCTTTGTCAGTATGAAGTTTGTAGAATTCCTCACTACCTGTGCTGTGGAGACCAAAGGTCTGTTGGAGATATTTGAAACAGATATAATTTTAGGTCCTCAACACTGCAGAAACTGCTTTTTTCCCAACATTCCCATTCCTGAATTCTTACTTGTGATTCTCGTCTACATTTTGGGGGTGCTAAGAAAAAGTATGACTAGAAAAGAGTAATGACCACTCATAAAGTGAGAAGTCAAAATTCATGACATCTTACAAGAAAAGTAAGTGTAGAATCATTTAATCAGGTAATCAGCAAGTATCAGTATTATTCACAGAACTCTACTAGGCTCTAAACAGGCTACAAGAGGAACAACAAAATAGTCCTTGACCTTAAGAAATTGCAATAAACTACATATAATAGTAAAGGAATTGTTTAAAATCTTTAAAGTAAAATTATTTATGTAATCAAGTATTCAGTTATTTATTTATTTTTATTATTTTTTTAAAGAGAGAGAGAGAATTTTTTGATATTTTTTAGTTTTCGGAGGACACAACATTTTTGTTTGTGTATTATACTGAGGATCGAACCTGGGCCGCATGCATGCCAGGCAAGCGTGCTACCGTTTGAGCCACATCCCCAGCCCCAAGTGTTCAGTTATTTATAGGCAAATGTTTGCTACTTTTTATACTGTAAGTAATACCCCAGAAGTTCAAAAGAGGATATTGTATGGGTATGAGCCATCAGGGAAGTCTTGATGGAATGAAGTCTATGAGGACCATTCTGTTGCCAGTTTAAAGGTGATACATAACAAGTCTGCCATTCTAGAGGAGATTAGGAAAGAGACTGGCCCAAGTGGAGCAGTGCTTTTGAGAACCATTAAATATTTTTCCTAATGGTGCAAGTTTAAACATACTTATGAATTTCTTTGCTGAACAAGGAGAAATGAAATGGTCTTCTCAAAGCACTTCAGTAGAAAATTATGTTTAAATATTTACTTATTTAAGATGATTTAGGGGCTGGGTTTGTAGCTCATTGGTAGAACACTTGCCTACCACATGTGAGGCACTGGGTTCAATTCTCAGCACCACACAAAAATAAATAAAGGTATTGCATCCATCTACATATAAAAATATTTTTAAAAAAGATGATTTAGGTGCCAGTACAAAGCAGTTGACTAGATAATTGATCTGAGTCCCTTAAAAGTTTGTTTTTCACATGCACTATATGTACTATAAAATACTATATGTACTATAAAATACATCTTTCCTCATATTGGTCATGCTGATTTTGGTCAAATGCTGTGTTATTTTATTAAGGCCTGTCATCTATTGGTAGTGATAAAGTGGGTGGATATAGTAGTTATCAAGGAATATGTAAGGTGGGTCTTGAAGTATCTTTAGTACTTTTTCAGAATTCTGAGCCACATATCCAACCAAGTCATCTGACCAAGCTAATTTAACAAAGAAGTATTTTTTCCCCATTTATTTACTTGAATTTTGGGTGTTTTGCATATATTAGAAAGACCTCTGCTAGCTTTCTAATGAAACATGCAGCAGCTGCTTTACAGGATCTAATCTGCCCTTGCAGATAAACATCATAAACAACGTATTCCAGCAAAATCCATTCTTTGTTTATGGAAGTCAAGGGCACACTATGAAGCGTGATTTTTAGGAATTGTGAATCAAACAAAAGAAAAAAATCTTTGTTTTAGTTGTATATGGACACAATCCTCGTATTTATTTATTTATTTTTTTAATGTGGTGCTGAGGATCAGTCCCAGTGCTTCATATGCAAGGCAAGCGCTCTGCCACTGAGCCACAGTCCCAGCCTGAATAAAATATTTTTTAAATACTTTTTTCCTCATCTATTATCACAGATCCTATAAAATACGTCTTTTAAGTGTTTTGAAAAATGCTTTCTTTTTGAAGGTTATTGTTTCTTTAAATCAAGTAGGTAATACTTAAGAACCATTTTATTTAATAAACAAGTAATTCTTTCAAATATAAACATGTTTGTTGTTGTCGTTATTGCTTTAGTTTTTTAGATGGACACAATGCCTTTATTTTACTTATTATTTTTTATGTGAACCTGAGGATTGAACCCAGTGCCTCATGAATGCTAGGCAAGTACTCTACCACTGAGCCACAATTCCAGCCCCTAAATACATGTTTTTACCAAAGTTTTGAGAGAGTTCTCCCAAGTCAATTATTCTTCCCAGATAAAATTTTATTATTTGAACTGAGATTATGGCTTTCAGATGCTAGTTAAGCAGTGGGCTTCCTGTTTTTTAAAATGAGCAGTGTTGCTTACAATATAGTCTTTTAACCCTAAAGTTTAGAGTCAGTATGAGACAAATTCTCAGAAATTATCACAAATGATGTTCCTAACCATTAATATGATCAATATATCTATATCTACATATACATATATAGATATAGCTATAGATGTTGAATATAATTTTAAGCTTGGCTAGTATGCACAAGGCCCTGGGTTTGATTGTTAGCATCACAAAAAAAAAAAAAAGGAACTTATGATTATCTAACGAGGGAGTTAGTGAAGCCCAAAGATGTGATATAATGTTAATTATTAGTAAAACAGTTTAAGACACTAATGATTATTATTTTACATTTCCTTTTTTTTCCCTTAGAGATATAGAACAGGTAATACTGAATTTACTTTTTTAAAATTAATTTAGAAATTCTTAGATATTATTAGCATAAGAAATAAAATAGAATAATGATTTATTTCTGTTAGGAATCAACTTCTAGTAATATACAAGTGGTAGTTTATTTTTTAAATAATATATTTATGGAGACAATTTACATATAGTAATAATATGTATAATAATAATATGTATAAAAATAAATCATAAGTATACATATAACTCAATAAATTTTACACATGATTATACCATATACCACCCCCATATTGTTTTGATTTAGACATAACTATGCATATGTTCTTTATTTTGAGCTAGCCACCTAGCTATGGGTATATATGAATATTTATATATGGTGGTTATGGTCATCCTTGGATAAGCACAGATTTTTAAATGCCATCTTCATCTTGTAGTATAGCTTAGGCATTAGAAAAATAAAATTACCTTGACCCAATTCATAGAAATATCTGGAAATCAGTTTAATCATATGACTCCTGGGTTTAACTATGAAAGAGATGAAAACCACCTAGGAATCAGGAACCCTAAAATGGCTGGGGCTGGTCATCTATAGGCCTATGCAGATTCACACATACACACACCCCTTCCACACAGTCTACATTCTTCCTGCTCGTCCCCTCTCTGTTCCCATTATTTTTACATATGTAGTAGACAGTTAGCAATATTTTCACCTGGTAAAGTAGGCAAAGGGGGGGATCTTCCTTTAAATTTTACCTACTCATATTACATATGAATAATACCTTTGATTCATATGTATTTAGAGGGTATATAGGTATGGGATAAACAGCAGATGTATAGAAGAGAGGGAATGGATCTCCCAGTCATCTGGATTTTGTTCCCAGAAATGTCGCTTATAGTGGATTTTCTTAAACATTTCATTTAACTTTTCTACTTCTGCTGTCTGTAAAATTGGCAAAATAATGCCTAAGTTATGTGACCTTTAAATAATATTTTGCAAACTTTAAGGCATTTTAAATATGTATGAATACTGTATGTAGACAACATAAAATGTATGTCTGTTGTTTATTTCCTCAATCCCTAGTTTGTTTACTCTCTTCATATTGCCACAGGTAATCTTCAGGGAGAGTAACTGAGAGCTACCAAGAGAAAATTATTTTTATATGATATAATTTAGCAATAGATTTAACAAAGTTTTTATAATATAGTTTTCATATATATTATTTTATACATATTATATTCATATATTTCATGAAGATAAAAATTTCATATAAAGTTTTCATATATATTATTTTATATTCATTATCTTCATGTATATCATTTAATTTTTTTATCCTAAAAGAAACCATAATATGTCCAGCTTACATCTGAGAAAATTGAGTTTCAGAGAGGTTAATCTTGTCCAAAGTAAAAAATAACAGCTCAGTGGTACCACTGGCATTTGTATTAGGTTGTTTAATTCTTTCTCATATTTTTATCTATCCCTTACAGGTATCTATACTTCAATCCGACTTTTCCAAATCCCTTTTTATCCAATAATTGTTTATGTGACCTGGTATACTCATTTCACCATCTGAATCTCAGACTGACCGCGCACCTAATTGTAAAATTTGGTTTTCTATTATTTCAATTTAATTGACCTTGTCCATTCTTGGATAAAGCCTTGGATGCCAACCTTTTCGAACCACTTTAGTTGGATGTTTTATATTTTCGTGTTCTATTTGAAAACAAAATAATACCTAAATAACAAAAGGGATCATTAAAGTGCAATATAAAAATCCTTACTTTATACATAATACATATAATTTTAATGGCTTTAAGATGTCTTTATTAACTCTATTGTCAAATAGTCAAAGCCAAGTTTTCTTTTTGGTCTATATACCTGCATAATCAGAACACCTTATCTATTTCCTAAGTGTCAAGTTTCTGTGTAAACTCATAGTTGCAGTCTGGAATCCAAGACAATTGATTCTGTTAGGTCCTTTCAATTGGAGATAATGCCATATAATCTGATTTTAAAAATCACTCTTTTAACATGAAATCAAGATGCATCTAGTATATATCCAAATATGTATTTGCATGAAGTTTTTGTTCTTTCTTCATTTACCTAGAAGAGATTTAAATTAGTGGTTTGACTTCAATCACCGGATGTCTCAAATTCAAAGTTCAAGGCTATTTCTTGATCTGAGTATGCTTCCCAAAACTTTATACTGCCTACTTGGCATCCAGAGCCCTGCAAGTCCATTCACAATTTCCTGTACTCCTACCAGCCATTATATCCCACCTACCCCAGGATTTGGCCTTTTACTTTGGCCCACATCCTTATGATGCTCTTTGTCACTGTAGGCTATCTATGTGGGTTTTTTTTTTTAATCTTAATTAAATTTTATTTTTAAGTAAGCTTGTTATATATTTTAAATGTATCTTTCTTCTTTTCTAGTGTTCGAAAGCATCCTCAAACCAAGAAAATACAAATTACTTCTTCTATCTTTAAAGTCACAGCCTATGTAAGTATTGAGCAAAAATTTACAACCAAATAATTTAGTTACTTCTTGTTAATAGACTTGCTACAAATGGTGTGTTAGTTAGGACATTTATGACTAGGTGAAAAAAGGGTGATATTTAGTGTTTTGTCAAAAGTTGATATAAGGTATGATTTTGTTTGGAGAATACTTTAGTATTCTTAATACTTTAGTCATATTTGACATATTTCTATGCTTCCTATTGTCTGTATCTAATTTTCTCTACTAATTATAGAGCTAAATCTGTGACTTCATGGAGAAGAATACAGATAAATAAGAGTACCGCAAATAAATGAGTACCATAAATGTCTTTATATTACAGAATCTGATACTTGAATTTTAGTATCATACAAAAGATATTACACATAAAGCAGTTTCTAAGTATCTTCATTCAAAAATCACTTAGCTAATATTTATTAAATATTTACTGTATTTACTGTATATTGTATGCTGGGCTAGGGCACAATATAAAAGACATATGTGGCACATAGAGATCATGTTTGAAAAATATATATATAGATAGGAGAAAACTGCTAAATTTTGTACATTAGCATATTAAAAGCACTTTTAAAAAAATGATGGAATTCCCCTTTGAACTATAGATTCCTTAACAACAAGAATTAGTCATGTATGTTTAATACAGACATACATCTAGCATAATAGATTATGTGGTCAACATTTTAAAATATGAGTTAACTGCCAATTTATTGCCAAGGATGTATGTATGTTTCATGTTGCTTTAACAAAAAATATATAATATTCAAATATGTTGATTATCATTTAAATGTAATTGTATACTAAATAATTTAGGTTTATCTTTTTTAGGATTCTACTGGTGTGTGCTACCCTTCAACAAAGAACCATGAACAGACATTTTCTTATTTTATTGTGGATCCTATCAAGCGTCATGTTAATGTTTTATACCATTGTTATGGTGTAGGGGAAATGTCTTAAATAGGTTTTCAGATTGCCTTTCTACTATTTTTAACTTAATATTTTTCTATTTCAATACTAATTTATAGATATTTACTTTGCATAATAATTCAAGTAAAATGTTGAATTTGCTTAGAACAGAAGAAAGCAAACACCAAGATGCCTTTCTCTGAATTTGTCTGGCACACTCACACAGGAATCCCTAATATAATCTATGCAAAACAGTTGTGGAACTTTTATAGAAAGTTACAAGGAACTAAATATCTAGTTCATATTTGTTGCATTTAGATTCAAGTGAGAAGATTTTCCATGCATTTTATTTTAGAAACTAATTCTGGATTGGAATTGTAGCAGGAAACTAAACATCTCTACCACCAATTATTTATATGAAGCGTTCTCCTTTCCAACTTGCATTTAATTTGGTTACATTTTTTCATTGCATTTATGTATCTAGAATTAGGAAAAGCATAGTAATATTTTTATTTCATTTGTTCTACTTTAAAATCCTCAATTCAAAGAATAATGTTCTGAAAATTATTGTAAGCTCTTTTTATCACACAATAAATTAAAACTGCAGCGACCCATAGCTAATAAAAAAAGCTACATGTAAACATAGAAAATTGCCCTGATGGTATTATTAAGCTGGCAAAAGAAATGAGAAGCAAATTTTCTTGGTACTCTCTCTGATTACATTCATCAGGTGAATGTAAAACTTAGATTTCTATTTTTAAACATATGATTAACATATGTTCCATTGATGATGGGAAGCTTTCAAGAAATGTTGAAGCCAGATGCAGTAGCACATGCCTGTAATCCCCGCAGCTGAGGAGGCTGAGGCAGAAGGATTTCTAAGCCAGCCTCAGCAAAAGAGAGGCACTAAGCATCTCAGTGAGAGCCTGTCTCTAAATAAAATACAAAATAGGTCTGGGAGGGGCTGGGGCTGTAGCTCAGTGGTAGATCACTTGCCTTGATATTCATGAGGCCTTGGATTCAATCCTCAGCACCATATAAAATAAAGGTATTGTGTCTAAAATAGGGCTGGGCATATGGCTAAGTGGCTGAGTGCCCCTGAGTTCAATCCCCAGTATCAAAAAGAAAAAAGAAAGAAATGTTGAGACTTTGAAGAGGAGCAAGTTTAGAATATGTGTTTCTGTGTTTTAGGAACAAGGATGATAATCTTGGATTTGAATCTAGAAGGAAGCATGGCAACTTGGGTATAGAGTTAAGGATAGAAAGTTTGTTCTTTCTTAATACCTAGAAGAATGAGAAAAATGACTTGGCACATTTAATGTTTATTGAATGATATTTTGATATAGATTGTATATGCCTAATCTGATATGGCACTGAAACTATTTCAGATTTCAGAGTTTTTTGTGTTTTGGAATATTTGCTAGTTGCACATTTAATCCAAAAATCCAAAATCCTAAATGTTCCAAAATGTAAAACTTTTTTGAGTGCTGACTTTGCACAGAATTTCAAATTTCATAGCATTTCAGATTTCAGATTTGTACACTAGGGATATTTAACCTCTAATATCCACAGATTTTTTCCCCTGAATTTCTTTTTTTAAATAAGTTTCTTAAATTTTTTAATCAATATATAGTAATTGTACATAATTGTACTGTTCAGGGAACAGTATGACATTTCAATGCATGTTTACACTTCCTAATGTTAAATTATATAAAAACAAAACCAAGAACTAAATTTGTCTTTGCTACCAATCTTGCTGCAAAATACATAATCTCCTAGGACCTGAGAACCCTCTCAATCAATTGAACAATTAGTAATTCTTTTTTAATACCAAGTCTATGCAAGACATTGTGCGATTTACTTTAGGGATCCATGCATGTGCATTCCTTATAAATCAAGTAGGGAAGGTAATGACTAAGAGTGTTACTATAGACAGTTATTGTTACATGAATACAGAGAGGGCAGAAATCAATGGGAGTGGAACTTTAGGGCTCAGTCTGGCTTCTGTGAAAGGACTGGTAGGTTTTCTACAACTGAAAAAGAGAAGTTCAGGGTAGCGTGAGATGAGGCAGGATGTGCTAAGCCTGACTATGGGATGAAATTCCAGAGGTAAAAGATGGGAAACTGAGAAATTGTCAAATTGTCCTCTCAGCTCCAAAGCAGGAAGTAGAATGCATCTTTGAGGAAACATTGCTCCATTGTTTGGGGGAAATCAGTTTAATGAACCTTCTATGATTATGCAAATTATCTAAATGGAGAGGAATAATAGGAGGGTGATAAAAAAGTTTGGGATAGGCTATCAGATTGCCTGAATTCTTACTTAATTCTGCTATTACTGTGTGACCTTGAGCTGATTACTTAAGCTTTCTGTGCTTTATTTGCCTTTACTATAAAATGGAGAAAATAGTAAAGCTCCCTCTGAGTTAATTTTGAAAATTACATAAATTAGTGCATATATATTGGGCTTATAGTGGTGCTAAGCAGTTTAAGTTTTCATGAATTTTGGCTGTATTCATTCTCTACTGAGGAAATATGAAAAAATAAGAAACCAAACTGTATAATAATGTAAAAAGTTGTCATTCTTGGGGTCAAAATGCTTTTCTACAGATTGCAATCACCTTGACTAGATAGAGGGGAAATTTGGTTTATCCTCCATGTTTGGATCCCAGAAAATATGAAGACCCTGAGTGTGGACACCAGAATGGGGGGGACATTGTTTTCATTTGTTTGTTGTTTTATTTTCTTACCTGAGAAATGTTTTACTAATTTGTTTAATATTTATTTCTCATGAAAACAGGGCTTTTGTCTGTTTTCTTATCCCTTGTATCCCCAAGGCCTAGCATAGTAACTGGCACTTGAAAGATACTCAGTAAATATCCATTTTCCAGCTGACAAGAGTTCATTGGAGGAAGAGAAGCTGGCCCTTGAAGTATGACTGTTGCTAGATGGGGAGTGAGGAAAGGGGAAAGACTGGCAATGGAAATCAGGGAACATCAGTATGGAACCCTCTTTGCAGGTGGCTGGCCAGTGAACTCTAGCAACCCTTATATCTAGATTCTCAACTTAAGTTTTCTGTACAGTAGCCCCCTAGTTATTCTAAACTTGTTAAATTTTGTGAACTATTATAGCCTAGATTTAGCTGTACAGCGTGGGATTAGATGTGCAGCCTGGGACTATGCCTGGGTCAACATTGTCCCTAGAGAACAGCAGCAGCAGCCTGTAGAAGCTGGCTTTGTAAAAGCAAGCTCTCAACAACTGAGGGTAAAAGTTTTTCTGGAATGAGACAACTGACTATGTGACAATTGACATCACAAGTGTCATGTAAGTGGTTTTCTGGGACTTGAGAACATTCTTCAGAAATTCCAAATATTACTTAATGAGAAATGTCTCCCAGAACTCTAATTTGGATAGTAAAAAGATTTAGGCTGAAGGCTAGAAAATCTGGACACATAGGTCCCATAAGCAAAAACAAAAACACACATTGTGGTTTGGGGACATAAGCACATGTCAGTAGGTGATTAAACTGAGTAATCCTCTTCAGGAGTTCTGGATACCGCCAGGAAAAGAGACGAACCTGTTTACTGAAGCACAAAACTAAGAAATTTAAATCCTTTTAAATATATAATATTTACCAGTAATCAGAGCTTTTTGAGCAGGGGTAGTAATCATGTGATATTCTGGAAAAATTAGACTGGCAGTGATGACTTGGGGTTAAGAAAGTCCAGTGACCAAATAGAAGATTATAGTAGTAGTTAAAACACCAAATAACTTATCTGAGTTAATGACAATGGAATGTTCTCTGGGTATCATGAATTATGAGACAATGAAATGCTCATTAGAAAAAGAAAAAAAACGGGCTGGAGGTGTGGCTCAAGCGGTAGCGTGCTCTCCTGACATGCGCAAGGCGCTGGGTTGGATCCTCAGCACCACATACAAATAAAATAAAGATGTTGTGTCCACCGAAAACTAAAAAATAAATAAATATTTTAAAAAAGAAAAAAACAACGCAAGAAAGGGTTCATTAGAAAAAAAATACAACTCAACAAAGGTTTCACCAGCAGGGTGGATTATGAAATGAAAGGTATCTGAAGTACTAAGGATGGGGAAGTGGGAACTATAGTAGGAAATTGTGGTGAGATAGGGGAAATCCCTCCTCCTGAGTCTTCCCCAACTGTTCTGATTCACAGACCTGTCATTCTTGTTTCAAATTATTCTCAACAAGTTTTGTGCCTTAGAACTTTGAAAATAGGTCTGAAAGTTCTAAAACCTGAATGGTACCTTGTTAAACCAGCCTCAGAGGAGCATACCTGTAATCCCAGCTGCTCAGGAGGCTGAGGCAAGAGGATCGCAAGTTTGAGGCCAGCCTGAACAACTTAGCAAGACCCTCAGTAATTTAGTGAGAGTCCATCTCAGAAAATAAAAAAGATTGAGGATTTTTCTCAGTGGTAAAAATGCCCCTGAGTTCAATCCTCAGTGCCATAGTATGAAAAGAGAGAGAGACAAACAGAAACACAGAGAAAGAAATACCAAATTATGTCCAAAAAACTTGAAGTCTTGTTGGAGAGATATGCTACTCATAGTCGGGCCTGTAATCCCAGCAACTCTGAGGGCTGAGGCAGGAGAAATGCAATATAAACTCCAGCCTGGGCAAGATGTGGTGGCCTATATTCCGGAAGCCGGCAGAAGGATCCCAAGTTTAAGACCAGCCTCATCAACTTAGCAACACCCTGTCTCAAAAATTTAAAAGGCATATGGATATAACTTAGTGGTAAAGCACCCTGGGGTTCAATCCCCAGTACCAAAATAAATAAAAGAGAGCTGAGAATGTAGCTCAGCAGTAGAGTGCCATTGGATTCAATTTCCAGTACTTGGGGAGAAAAAAGACACAAATGTTAATATTACTAGTAGTACAAGATAGCTGATAAGTATCAGAGATGATAATTGCTAAAGAGTTGAGCAGAAAAAATCATATCTATACAGGGTAGTCAGGAAATTCTTCCAAGAGAATCTGGGGGTCTTATAAGAGAAATTGGTAAAGGAACAAAAGAATGGAATATCACTTGAAGAAAAACAAAAACCAAGAAAGATTAAAATGTTTCACATGCATGAGTACATTACAAAGAAATCTACTTAAGTTTTGTAGGGGTTACTACATCTTTCTCCTTTACATTAACTGTATGGTTAAAATATTTAGCAAGAAATCAGTCTATTTTTATACTAGCAGCATTATTTAACATTAATTACATGAACAAACTAGTATCCCTCACCAAAAAGTGTTTTATAGTTCCAGAAGCAGAATGAAAATATTATTTTTATTTCCTTTATTTCAGTCACTGATGTTATTGCATGACATATTTTATGTAATCCTCTCATCAAACCCTTTTGAGATTAACTAAATCAGTAGAATCTTGGGTTTATAAGTGACAGAAAACTCGATACAAATTATTTTTAAGCAAAAAATAGATTTATAAGCTCATGTTACTGAGAAGTTCAATAGTATTTTGACCTGACTTTTCTCCTGATTTAATACAGGACATATTTTTTTCTCTCAGTGCATTTTCTCTCTGTTGACTTTTTCTTTTTTTTTTTAATATTTATTTTAGTTTTAGGTGGACACAATAGCTTCATTTTATTTTTATGTGGTGCTGAGCATCAAACCTAGTGCCTCACACATGCTAGGCGAGCGTTCTACCACTGAACCACAACCACAGTACCCCCCGCCTTTTTTTTTTTTTTTTGGTAGTAGAGATTTAAACCAGGGCCATTGTACTACTGAGCTATATCCCCAGCCCTTTTTATTTTTTATTTTGAGACAGGTTCTTGCTAAGTTGCTTAGGGCCTTGTAAGTTGCTGAGAATAGCCTTGAATTTGGAATCCTCCTGCCTCAGCCTCCCAAATCTCTGGGATTACAGGCATACACTGCCTATTGACTCCATTCTTAAGCCACATACATCTTCTCATGTAATGCAAAATTGTCAGAATACCCAGCATATATCCTATGGAGTTCAAAAACAGTAACAAACTAGAAAATAATATCTCTCTCTCTCCCAAGAGTCTATTTTTATATTAGCAGCATTATTACTAGCATACTAGCAGGAGAAGTTCCATTGGCTCTCATGGGGTGCTGTGCCTATTCCTTAACCAATCCTTGTAGCCTGAAATGCTAGCATTGGATTGACCAAACCTGAGATACATACCACTCAGACATATACTACTCAGAGATGGAGTGTAATGAGAGCCCTAAATTCAAAATGAGGAGCAGTTACAGAAAAACAGCTTTCTGACATTAAAAACAAAAATAAACTAGCTCCCCTCGTTAGTCAGAGGATGTACTTATAGTTACAGAAGCAGAAAATAAGCTAGTTGTCAAAGATTACTATCATATCTCCACTTTACATGAATAAGCTAAAAAGAGGTTAAATAATTTGCTGTATGTCACAGGGCAATAAGTGCTGAGTTAGGATTTGAACCCCCAACTGGTCTCAATCCCACAAATAAAAAATGGTTTTCAATCCTGGTTTGCTTGAGAATGAGCGAGGCTTTTTACAAACACAGATGACTAATGTCCACCTACCTTGATCCCTGGTGATTGATCATCTCTGCAGTGGATCCAGCCATTGCTTTTTTTCTCTTAATATGTAAAAAAACCCCAGCCTTACCTCAGATTTTCTTAAGGAAAGCTTCTACTCTTAAAATATTTCTCTCCTTTCTAGAAGTAACCAATATCTTGAAATCTGTGTTCATCCTTCTCCTACATATATTTTTGCTTTTTATATGTTTCCTTTAACAATATATTATGCTATTTAATGAATTTTTAAAAGTTCCATAAATGCAAACACTATCCAAAGGGTTTTGGTTTTTTGTTGTTGTTGTTGTTGTTGTTTGTGGTACTAGAGATTAAACCTAGGGCCTTATGCATGCTAGGCCTGTGCTGTACCACTAAGGTATTCTCCCATCCCTTTTTATTTTTTTATTTTGAGACATGGTCTCCTAAGTTGCGGAGGCTGGCCTCAAACTTGTTTTCCTTCTGTCTTAGCCTCTGGAGTAAGTGGGATTACAGGCATGAGCCAATATACCCTGCTCAACCTTTTTTTCCTTAATATTTTTGCTGGCCTCAAACTTGTTTTCCTTCTGTCTTAGCCTCTGGAGTAAGTGGGATTACAGGCATGAGCCAATATGCCCTGCTCAACCTTTTTTTCCTTAATATTTTTTTCAAATTTATCTATGTTGATTCTTGTAGCTTTTATTCATCCATCTTAATTTAATGGCTTTACCTTATTTATCCACCCCCTTATCATTAGATATTTTGATTATATGAACAATGCTGAAATTAATATAATTGTACTTGTCTTCTACAGAGTGTTCTCTAGGCTTATATTTTGTAAAATTCTTGAGTTGTATGATATATTTAGCCTCACTTGATCTTCACAAATTGCTCTCTGAAGTAATTGCAGCAACTTATGCTTCTACCACAGATATAAGAATTCCTATTGCACCATTGTCTAGCCAACATTTAGTATATGTCAAATCTGTAATTTTTTAAATTTAATAAATATAAAATGGTTTTATTATTTTAATTGCTCTGACTTTTTGTAATGAGGTGTAGAGAGTTATTTTGTTTATTTCTTTGAACATGTGTATTGATTCTGGTGAGCAACTTGAGAGCCACTGCTCTATCTCTGCTTCTTGAATTTAAGAGACAGAAAGAAAATAGAAAAAGAAAGAAAAAAAAGAAGACACAATAAAAGGGAAATATGCTGGGGCTGGGGATGTGGCTCAAGCGGTAGCGCGCTCGCCTGGCATGCGTGCGGCCTGGGTTCGATCCTCAGCACCACATACAAAGATGTTGTGTCTGCCGAAAACTAAAAAATAAATATAAAAAAAAAAATTCTAAAAAAAAAAAAGGGAAATATGCTGTCTCTCAGTAAAAACTATTATCACTGAAAGCTGCATTTAGTGTTACATTTATCAAGATCTCAACTGGTAAACTCTATACCAGCTGGTATTCCTGATCTCCTCCAATGTTGTCTTTAATCTCCTGACTTGGGTCATACATTAAATATTATTGGGATAGGCATGCTAAGCAAGGGTTAAACTTATAAATAAGGTTGAAACTTACCTTTCTGTTTATATTTTTTTCTCTCTATCATAAAGAAGAAGAAAAAAATAACCTCACTGGGCTTTAACAAACACTTAAGAGTCTGCTAATTTTCTTTTGTTTATTTGGTTCCTAACAGAAATAGTAAAGTAGAAATTACCTATGACCACATAAATTAACTTTTATTCAACCAAATTTTATCAACAGCTATCCTTTATATATTGAAAATAAAATGCATGTTTAAAAATACCTAATAAATATTTTTTAAAGTTAAAATATACCACTGAGGGTCTAGGGGATCAAGAGAGCCATATCAGAGTCAAGGATGATTCTTAATGAAAGGTGTCTTTAAGAAAGGAATTGAGGTTCATTTAAAAAGTAATAACATTCATGGATTGGTTTATAGAAGGAAAGATTCTAGGTAGAATGTTCCATGCAGGTGCAGAGGTAGGAAATATGTTTGGGTTTACAAACTTTCTTGAATAGTAACAGATCTGCTTAAACACAGTGGTTAACAAAATACTTAATAACTACTTTCAAGAAATTTATAATTTAGTGACCAAAAAACATGGTAAAATACATAATGTAATTATAAATTGTGATTTTGTAGGAAATAATAGTGGTAAAGCTGAGAAAACTCTTCTAAGGAGGTAATAATTAAGGCTTAAGCATACAAATATTCCCAGAAAAATTTCAGCATATGCAAAAAGTGTGGTACCAATCAGAATCCTAAGAGACACAAACCCAAATGCTATAATCCCAAATGTTGAAATATGGAAAGATCAAAATCCCTAAAATTTTAAATCCCTAAATTATGATCATGAAAGATTAAAATCCTGAATATTGAAATCCTAAAAGTCAAAATCCCAAAAACTGAAATTCCTATTGAGAAAAAACAGGCTACTTATCTAGGCATGATAGTACCTGCCTGAAATTACAACTGCTAAAAAGACTGAGGCAGGAGAGACACAAGACCAACCTAGAAGAACTCAAAAAACTTAACACTAAAAAAACAAATAACCCAATCACTAAATGAGCAAAGGAACTGAACAGACACTTCACAGAGGAAGCAATACAAATCTCAACAAATATACGAAAAAATGTTCAACATCTCTAGCAATTAGAGAAATACAAATTAAAACTACACTGAGATTCCACCTCTAGTCAGGATGGCATTTAGCAAGAATACAAGTAATAATAAATGTTGGCAAGGATTTAGGGAAAAGGTACACTCCTCCTACACTGGTGGTGGAACTGCAAATTGGTACAACCACTCTGGAAAGCAGTATGGAGATTCCTCAGAAAACTTAAATGGAGCCACCATTTGATCCAGTTATCCCAATCCTCAGTTTATACCCAAAGGACTTAAAATCAGCATAGTACAGTGATGCAGCCATAGCAATGTTTATAGCAACTCAATTCACAATAGCTAAGCTATGGAACCAATCTAGGTGTCCTTCAACAAATGAATGAATAAAAAAAAAAGTGGTATATAATCACAATGGGATTTTACTCAGCCATAAAGAAGAATGAAATTATGGCATTTTCTGGTCCGTGGATAGAACTGGAGAATATCATGCTAAGTGAAACAAGCCAGCCCCCAAACCCAAAGGCTGAATAATTCTCTGTGATATGTGGATACTAACCATAATAGAGAGTAGGGAGAAAAAGAATAGAAGTCCATTGGTTTAGACAAATGGGAATGAAGGAAAAGGGTATAGGGTAATAGGAAAGACAGTAGAATTAATCAAACATAACTTTCCTCTCGTATATGACTATATGACCAGGGTAACTCCACATAATGCGCAACCACAAGAATGGGATCCTAATTAGAATTAGCTGTACTCTATGTATGTATGGTATGCCAAAATATACTCTACTTTCATGTATATTGAAAAAGAACAACAACAACAACAAACCATATTAAAAACTAAAAAGACCAACTTGGACAATTTATTAAGACCCATCTCAAAATAAAATTTAAAAGGGTTGGGGGTGTAGTTCAGTGATATGGTGCCCCAGGGGTCAATTCCCAGTACCACTGCCCTCCAAAAAAAAAAAAACTAAGAGGGATAAAAGCCAGTTGTTAGAAAAGGGATTAAAATATGTTTTCTAGTTATATGCAGCATAGTTAGATTATATTGGGTGGAATCACGTGTGTCAAAATTTCAAAACTTCTTTAATAAATGAAGACTTATTCTTTTTGTATACCTGCAATTCTTAAAAAAAAACATTTTTAAAAATTTGTTCTAATTAGTTACAGATGACAGTAGAAAGCATTTTGACACATCGTACACAAATGGAGCACAACTTCTCATTCCTCTGACTGTACATAGTGCTGAGTCACACCAGTAGTGTAATCATACATGTATATTGGGTAATAATGTCTGTCTTCTTCTATTGAAAATAACATTTTTTAAAATTGCAGTTCTTTGACAGCTGCAAATATGGTGATGACCCATAGCAGTTTTCAATCAATCTTGTCAAAAGTTTTAAGTTAGGGGTTGAGGTTGTAACTCAGTGGTAGAGCGCTTGCCTAGCATGTGTGAAGCACAGGGTTTGATCCTCAGCATCATGTAAAAAAATAAATAAAATAAATGTATTGTATCCATTTAAAACCAAAAAATTTAAAACAAACAAAAAAAAGATTTAGGTTATCCATCAGGGTATTCTAGACAACTGCAGTTATAAAGATGGGTGTACACAATTACCAACCATAGAGATATGCATTTATACTTTTTTGTTTTTACTATTTCTTTTTTTAGTTGAGGATCGAACCCAAGGCCTCACACATGCTAGGCAAGCACTCTACCCCTGAGCCACAACCCTAGCCTACTTTTTGACCTATTTCTTTATGGAAATGATTTATCTGGTCATAACTCTTACATTTGTGCTACTATGGTTAGTAAATCTAAGCATTTATTCTTGCAAAAATGTGTATGCTTATTTTATTATAGCCTGTTTTACTGTGTAAAATTATGTAAGTATTTATGAAGTAAAATTATGTAATAAATACTTATGAAGTATTCCATCGTGTTTTATGTTTCTCAAATAATTTCCTTTAAAATTTTAAGTAAATGTCTTTTAACAAATTAAAAAAAAATTTTCCAGAATATGTTTTCAGGATTTTGATTGTTTGGGATTTAGAATTTATGAGTTTTAGATTTTAGGGATTTCACCATTCAGGATTATGGCATTCAGGATTGTCTTTCAGGATTATGACCCAAACCCCAAAGTGCAGCATAATTGAAGCAGAAAAAATAGAAAGATCACATACCTCTTGTAGGCCAATGAAAGGAGTTTGAAATTTAATATAAATGCAATGGGAAACCTCCATATAGTTCTAAGTAAGGGAGAACTGGACATTTTCAAATGATCACTGTGGCTATTATGTGATAAGTGTATTCAAGAGGACGTGGAAGTGGGGAAACTGTATGGGCAGGAGGTTTCAGTGAAGATGGAGTGTCATGGGATGAATGAACTATGTCCCTCTCCCCTAATTTTTATGTTGAAATTTTAACCTCTAGTACTTTAGAAGGTGACTATATTTGGAGATGGGCTTTAAAGAGGTAATTAAGGTGAAATGATGTCATATGGATAGATCCCATTTGACTGATATTCTTTTTAAAGCAAGGGATTAAGACAGGAGACACACACGGGGAAGGTCACACAAAGAAACTGGAAGAAGACAGTGGTGTACAAGCCTTGATCTTGAACTTTCAAACCTCCAGGACTATGAGAACAATTTCTGGTGTTCAAGCCACCCAGTCTGTTATGATAGACTTAGCAAACTAATACATGAAGGGAAGAATATATATTCCAGATGTATTTTTGGACATGAAATCTACATTATTTGCTGATGGATAGAATTAGGGAAGTCAAGGAGGTTTATTGGCTTCCTAGTTTTAGAAATTTTAGAACAGATCTACTTAAAATACTTAACAAGAAACAATCTTATGAAATAGAAAGGTGACAGTTAATTGAGAGCTTCGAAATCCAGATAGAAGGTTGGGAATTAAGTAAAACAGGATAGTAATTGTAGAAGTTTTGAGAACAACATAAATGTCATTGTTGTTAACTTCACTATAGTTGATGTTAGTGTATAATATACCATGGGGTTCCACTATAGTTTTCAGTGAATGAGCAAGGGTGAAAATGGCACTCAAGGGAAGTTGGTATAGAATCAAAAAAGATTGATAGGAGCAGGAAAGGCTGGATGGAACCTGGGAGACCAGCCAGAAATGGAAGTGTGAGCTGAGAAGAGTCTGATGTCCCTGAGAAAGCCAAGACTGGAAATATCTAAGTAAAACACATACTTACATATATAAATACATTAAATAGCTGGGGGCCAAAAGGGAAAATGTGATCGCACCACCTATCATTTTCTATCCAGGCAGCAATCCTACCTAAATTTATAGACTTCTTAAAAATCTATGTGGGGTCAGGATTCATTCCTTGCCCAAGTGCTTTGTACATAAG